TTGGCTGGTGGGGATGAAGATGGTGCAGCTGCTGTGGACCACATCCTGGCAGCTCCTCAAAAGGTTAATGTAGAGTCGCCATCTGATCCAGCTATTCCACTCCCAAGATAAATGAAAACAAATGTGCACGCAGAATTTTGTACATGATGTTCACAGTAGCATTATTCATAACAGGAAATGGGGGAAACAACCCCAGTGTCCACGGACAGAAGGTGGAACATTGTTCAGCCTAAAAAAGGAAGGACAGTGGTGATGACCTCACAACACTGTGAATGTACTTAATGCCACTTAACTGTACACTTCAAAATGGCTAAAATGGCATACTTTATGTTATGTATATTTTACCACAATAAAAAAGTATATTTTCATGTATAGAGACAGTGCCAATCCTAAGACGCTGCATCGATTGATTGACTGGTGTTTTTAAAACTCAGTCTCGGGGCTTCCCTGGTGGCGCAGTGGTTGAGAGTCTGCCTGCCGATGCAGGGAACACGGGTTCGTGCCCCGGTCCGGGAAGATCCCACATGCCGCGGAGCGGCTGTGCCCGTGAGCCATGGCCGCTGAGCCTGCGCATCCGGAGCCTGTTGCTCCGCAATGGGAGAGGCCACAACAGTGAGAGGCCCGCGTAACGCAAAAAAAAAAAAAAACAAAACTCAGTCTCACTGAAAACTGGTGACGGCTTCTGTGACAAAAGGAAGATCAAACAGGAAAAACATGTTCTTGATATTCTTCTCAAAGTAAAGAGGAAAAAAAGAAGAAAATAATCAATAAATTCAACTAGAATCAAACTACTTAACCATGAACGTTTTAATATCCATACGACATTCTTAAAACAAACTTTCAGACACAAAGTGATTTAAAACTTTATAAAAATATATATACAGCTTCAAACTATACAGTTTATTCAATTTAACAGAATGTCCATTTTTTAATTTAAGACACACACAATTTCAAAGAAATTTTCAATTTTATCCCAATTTCTCACTTAAAGTCTCAGCTTACATCTACCTATTATGTACAAACAGATGAACTGAAATGTCCTCAAAGTTCCCAGCGTTTGGGTTACAAAGAAAACTTAGAGAATTTCATCTTCTCTGTGTATAGAAATTAAGTCTCAGCCCATTTCATATATGTCTTTCCTATTTTCTTGTCAAATATTAGCTCTTCTTAAATAGATGTACTGATTTTATTCATTGTTTTTCTCAGGAAGGATATGTGTGATCCAGTAATTAAAGAAAGCTGAGATTACTCGGGCATAGTCTGGAAAGCAAAAAGAAAACAGAACAAAAAATAAAATAAAACAAAAAATTCAAACAAAAAGAAAAATTATAAATTATTATTTTGTAGATATTAGTCCTTAGGCCCAAAGTAAACCCTGAAATAATCTAGTAAGACACAACTCGGGTGTTGAAATGATGTTGATTGTCAGCACGCTTGCAAATCCCATAAAAGTATGGGTGAGTTTGGAATATTTGTATTTCACTTGGATACAAAAGTTCTGTTAGTTAGAGCTGAACTCCATAACACCACACGCAATATTACATGCTTAACATCTGAGCTCAAAGAAAACCACATACAAACTGAAATGAAGCAGAAATAGTTTACTTCAAAGGTGGACAAAGTAGCAGGACGTTAGAAGCAGGATTCTAAGTGAGATGAGCTGGAAGGGACAGCACTCAGGTTTCAGGAAACTGTCCCAGGAACAGCCCAGCAAAGGGCCTGAGCTGAGGTCACAGCCCCTCATTTTGGGCCTCACTCCTCGTAAAGATGCTCACTGAGGGGGACGCAGGTCCGGAGGCTCCAACCCTGAGAGCACACACACTCTGTCTGGCTCAGATCCTGGTGCCTGAGGGGCAGCCGACTGCTGCTGAGGCCCCGAGACGCACTTTCGAGCAGAGGCTGGGACTGCGGGGAGGGGTCCCATCTCACGCTCCATGCAGAAGTGTGGCTGAGGTGCCTCCAAACTCGTCCCCCGTCCTGCCCAGGCCAGCTGCCCTGCCCCCCAGCCTCGGGCTCCCGAGGATGGTGGTGGCTAATGGGTGCACAGAGGACTCAGGAGGGTCCAGGGCGGGGATGCCTGCGGCATCTTCATGGTGCGCGGAGCATGATAAAAACCCCACAGATGGTGACGTGCATGTACATGCAGATGACGGAACGCAATATGTGAGACCAACTGTAAAAACACGTGCACCGGCCTCGGGACACGGCTGCTGCACCCCAGTCAATGAAACACCCGTGAACTAGGAAAAACAATCGTTGAGGCAGCAGAGAGAGAAAGTCCCCTGTGTCTGCTGTTAAATGCTACTATTTCCAGGCTTACTCTATAGACAGGAGAGATACAGCTACTAATTAAACTTCATAAGCTAGTTTTATGAAAAAGAAAACGATTTCAGAATGCTAAATCTGAATTAGACAGAACCAATATTTGAAAATAAAGCTTCACCATTTGTAAGATTTCATTTTACCAAGTAGCTCAACATAGAAAAACTTTGACTGCACATCCTACATGCACTAAAAAGGAATCCATTTTCACAGAAAAGTGCTTCATGCATAAATTTTAGTTCCACCAACTACTTAAGGTGCTTGTAGGCAAAACCTGTCCAATGGTTTCAATGTAAGAAGCAAGAGAAGCATTTCCATTCAATCCCCAATCCCTGTTCCAAACTCTCCTGATGCATCTCAGAGCCACGCGTGAAGAACATCTTCAGTGTGAGGAACTCCACTGAATTGTAAATGATATATTTTCATCTCTCATAAAAACTTCATATTAGTTTAACTTAATAAAATTGGCTTTTTGCAATCTGAAAATGTAAATTATGGAAATGTAGATCTTTTTACATTTCTTACGGAAATGTAAATTATTATTATTATTATTTTTTTGCGGTACGCGGGCCTCTCACTGTTGTGGCCTCTCCCGTTGTGTAGCACAGGCTCCAGATGCGCAGGCTCAACGGCCATGGCTCACGGGCCCAGCCGCTCCGCGGCATGTGGGATCTTCCCAGACTGGGGCACGAACCCGTGTCCCCTGCATCGGCAGGCGGACTCTCAACCACTGCGCCACCAGGGAAGCCCGGAAATGTACATTTTTAAATACTGAATACAGCAGGCCCAACAACCAGCAGTAAGGAAAGGAGCAAACACTGGATCACGGGGTTGGGGGTCCCGAGTGGCCCTGCGGCGCCCCCGGCAGGAGCAGGGCTCTGCCAGCACTTGCTCCCCTGCCTGAGGGTCTCCCTTCCCGGAGCTGCTCCCACTGGCAGCCCACCGGCTCTCACTCCTCCCATACCACCTCTGGTCCTACTCCTCGCGGCAACCCCCCCGAAGGCACCACCTTCACCCCATCTCTGGTCCTGCTCTGACAAAGCCTCTGTCCCCCCGGACCCCAGGCTGCTCTGTGAGGGTGACTGGCAGTGGCTCTCCCAGGCCTAAGTCCCCACACCTGGACGTCCGACAGGAACCTCCAGCCGGCCCAGCTCAACACCCCACCTGCTCCTGTGGCTGCCTCTCCTGCCTCATGATGCGCTGCAGGCTTCGTGCAGGGCTTTGGGTCACAGACGCCCACGTCCAGTCAGTCGGCAAACCCTACTGAGTCCACCTTCACAGCCGACACAAATCTGACTGCGCCTGGGAGTATGACCGAAGCCCCCGCTGTCCCCGACCCCTTCTCTAGTCTGAACGTGATGGCCGGAGAGATCTTGCTAAGTGCAGTCAGACCCAACAGGCTGGCCTTCCAGTGGCCCCACGTCGCCCAGAATAAAGGCCAACGAACTCAGCACAACCTCCAGGGCCCGAAATGACCCGGTCCCCGGCTCCTCTCCCACCCGCTTCTGACCCCTCGCTCCCCTCCCCACAAGACCCCGCCCCCGCCATGTCTTCTCCGTGGGCTCAGCTGTACGAAGCACACCTCACTGACTTCTCGGTCTGGCTTCCTCCATCCCCCACTAGAACGTAAGCCCCGAAGGGCAGGGCGCTCTCCCCTGAAGACCCGTGGCGGGACCAGGGCCGCACAGGCAGGGCAGATGAGGCCCCCTAACACATCACTACTGGACGTACGGGGGAGGCAAGTCCTCCTGGCGACCCCAATGCGCAGGGGTCTCGTCAACTCCCGCCAGCCACTTGCTAATTATACTGGTGCCGTATTGCTTTACTGCTGGCTTTACTGTTATTTCATGTGACGAAATGTGATACGTGGCTTTTTAAACATGTCAGTCTTGACTCTTTAGCTATACTATGAGGTTTCCAAGGAGAAAAACCATGCACTGTACTCATTTTGAGATTACTGCCCCAAGGTAATCTGCAGAATCACCTCCATTCACTCAACTAAGTTTGTCCAGTGCCTGTCTTGGGTCTGGCACGGAGTTCTGCTCCATGCTGTGCAGGTGCTCTCCAAAAAGTCCTGATCGTCTGATACTCAGTGTTTACAGATTTCTGCGGCCGGAGTATTCCCACCGTGGCCCGGTGGGACTTCAAGCTGCCAGTGTGAAGCCCCACCCATGGCATTGTGAAGACACAAGCACAGTCGGCCCAGCACTCTACAGTTTGCATGAAATGGGCACCCAACAAAGGTTGAGGAAGTAACAAAAGAGAAATCATCGTATAGTTCAACTCCCTTTTTACTGTAGGGTCCAGGAAGGCAGACCAAGACATTTGGAGGACAGAAAAAATGTACCTTCTCCAAATCTAGCAGAGGAAAAGGAAAAGGGAAAAAGAAATGAACTCTTTCATTTCCATTTAAACTAATAAGGATTTGGTCCTAAGAGTGGAGCTCACAAGTCTGGAGAATTAGATTGTACACGCATATCTGCATATATCATGAGAGATATTTTTACAGCAAGAGAGATGCAAGAGGCATATTCCTCTGTGGGAATCTATTCCTCAAGCCATATGTGCATCCTTATATTTTCTGATTCAGGACTGCTTTGCTAGAGAGTAAGTTTTTCAGAGGCAAACCCTAGACAAGTGTCTAAAGCAGCACAATGGATAAAGTGCACAGTACATACCGGGTGGCATCCTGCAATGTTCTGGGAACACTTCCAGGGCACTCTTCAATCTTTCAGTATCTTGCAAAAGTAACAGCGTTTTCATGTGATCCAGAATGAACACATCTGAGGAGGGCATGCTGTGAGTTTCAAGATATTTAAATAGCTCTCCACTGGTCTCCATGAAGACAGCCGAGTCCGAATCCTTGGAGACACCTAAACAAAGACAGGGTCACTCAGAAATGCATTTTTACTCTTACAAACTGAAGATAAGCTCTCACTTCCTAAAGAAAGCCTCAAACGTATATTTCTATTTAGAACGATGTGTTTGAGAGACAATCAGAACAGAACTTTGAGAAGCAAACCACAAAATACAACTGTTGAACCACAGTGGAAAGGTGGTGTGTTACGGGCACTGATCTCGTAAAGCAGCTCTGAGTGTTCCATGTACCGGAATCCACGCACGCAGCAGGGGAAACACACGAAACCAAGCCCTCCGATGGTGTCACGCATCTACAAACAGCATGAAGCTGCTGGGCGGTTGGGATGCTTCAAGGAAGCCAAGGAGGCTGCCCCATGAGCACAGCGCTGTCCCCACTGCTGGCCGGCGGCAGGCCTACATCATGATGAGGCCATTTCTGCACTATCCTGGTTGGTGTTCACAGGATGCCTAGAATCTGTGACTTCATGGTCTTTGTCAACTTTGAAAAACTCCCAGCTGCCACCTCTTACACGTCCCTTGTGCCCCAGTCCCATGGCTGAGGCTCCTTCGGGCCCATGTGGCTGTTATGCTCCTTCTGTGTTTTCCATCCTTTCCTCTCCCTCCTTCACTCTGGATACTTCCTTCAGCCTGCCTTGCAGTTACTAATTCTCTTTTATGCTGAATCTAATCTGCTGTCTGAACTCGTCTTTGAGTCCTTAATTTGTTATTATATTTCTCAGGTCTAGAATTTCCGTTTGATTATCCTAATAGATTCAAATTATCTGGTGAAAGTCTCCGCTTTTCACCTTTTTTCTCCATCTTCTCCTACTTCTTGGACATCTAGATCATAGCTATTTTAAGTCCCTTGTCTGGTAACATCAGCGTCTCCACCCCCTGGCCTCTTTCTGCTGCTCTTTTCCTCATGGTTTCGGTCGTATGGTCCGGTCTCTTGCTGTGTCTGACACACTCTTTTGAATGAACATGAAAATTGCAGGGTCTTGGCTAACGACATTTTCCTCCAGAGAGGGTCCCCCCTTGCCTCTGCTCGGCAGACAGAGAAGGGGCAGGCGACTGAACTGACCACAGGGTGGCTGCACGTCTGGCCGGCAGTTGTCCACCTGCACCTGAGCGCGTGGCCTGCGTGCTGCGCTGGAGGGTCAGGTTAGCCCTGCCTGCTTGGTCCCTCAGGACGCCACAAAGGCCGCCCTGCCATGTGGAAGAGGTCTGCCTGGTTGCCCTCCTCCCATCCCACAGTTCAGGGCTTGGCCAAGGTTTTGAGGGGGGACAAGCAGAGCTTTGCTCTGGTCTCTGACCCTCCTTTCTTACAGAGCTGGCTGACCCTGGGCCCTCCACTTTCCCCCCCAGACCTGTGAGACCACTGGGGCTCTGCTGGTTTGCCTGCTCTCCAGGCTGCACTGCCCCTTCCCCTGGACCCTTGCCCAAGCCCCTGTCCAAACTGGCAGACACCTTGAGGGAAGGAGGGCAGCAGCATTCTGGCTCACCCGGCCTGTGGTTCACCTCCTCTGGGATTTGTCACAAGGGCTTTTCCTCAGCAGCTCTTAAAACTCCAAGTACACTTTAAACTTCAGTCCTCCTTGGCAGGAGGGCTGTCTGCCACAAGCTACTCCCTCACACAGAGAATGGATAATCTACTGAGATCTCTCTGAAGCCTACTTCTGTTCTGCAGTGTCTCCGCCACGTCCTCCTATTAGTCTCATGTGGATATTCGTTAAGGATGTTTTCAACTTAAGACAAAATGTGGATAAACAAGCAAAAGAGGAAAAGGGTCAATCTTGGTTAAAATGGACCCGTTAATCATGGTGTTTTCGCATCACTGTTTAAGTCCATCCCTTACCCCTCCAGTTATCACATAGGCAGTATTTCTCCATCTTGGTCATGCTGGAGGTTCGATGCACTAAGCCCACCACATCCCCTGAATCTCCCAGGGACGGATCAGAATGGTGGCAGTTATCCCAGCACTTCTGTTCTTGGCACCGAGCCAGCACCTGCTCCTTCCTGACCCTCAGGGCTGCTGTCTGTTAGGCTCCACACAAAGGTGAGGGATTATCACCCGTCAGAATAAATCCCAGGATAAACCTCAGCTCCTATATCAGTACAAATAGTGGTCCAATATGCTTACTGAAAAATCTCAAATCACTAAGCCACACATTGGGGAAGCAAATCAACGTGTGTCCGAGAGAGAGAGAGCTGTGCTTCCTTCACGTCTCTACTAGCCGATGAAAATGAGCAAGAATTCATCAAAGTCTCCAACCTGGATTTATCTTTTCTTTAAACATAGAGCTGAGAATAGCACCATATTCTGAAATTGGATCTTAGAGAAATGAGGATGATGAGACCACCCTCGTTTGGACCCACACCTCTAATGGGCGGGCTGTTTCCCCTGGTGAGCCTAGAGCAGGGGGCCAGCCCAGATCTTTGGTGGGATGAATTTAAATATTTGGATTTTTGCCTCAAAACTAATGACTTATTTTGAATACTGAATATTTTTAATGTTTTATATTTTAAACATTTAAATATTTTACATTTGCTTAATTTTCCAAAGTAGATGCCATTATTCAAAAGAACAACAGGAAGAAACATACCATCATAAAAATAAATTTCTTGTGTTGACTTCAAAAAGTTCAGGATATCATCTGCCTTTTCATTGGTACTTTTAACGTCTTCCTTCCCGGCGTCTGTGGCTCCTTCCTCCTCGGCATCCGGGCCCCCTCCCTCCCCGTCTGCGCCGTCCTCTCCATCACTCACTCTCACGTCGCCCTGCTCACTGCTGGTCTCCTCAGGCTGGTACATGAAGTTGATGCCAGAGACTCCTGTTAGTAAGCCAGCTGCTTTCTTCCTTTTAATTTGCTCTTTCTTTTTCAGTTTCCTTTTTTTATTTTTGCTTATTGTGGGGCCATCTGTGTGGCTGTGGCTGTGTGGCTGCAATTTTTCTTGCAAAATACTCTGCTGTTTCTCTAATTCTGCTTGTTCTAGAGGGATGTTACTGGGATTTTTAAATTTTTTCTTTGAATTATGCTTTCTAATTCTTCTTCTCTTTGGTTGAGCCTGAAGATCCTGATCTATAAAAACAAAAATTCAAATATAACAATTTTCTGTAAAATGGAACCATAACAAACTTACTAGGCTAGATAAATTTTCCATTAGGATCTTGTAATTTTAGTAGAAAAGGAATTTAAAATATTTACTTCAGTGATTCTTAACTTTATACCAACAAAGTACACTGTTGAGGATACTGGGATTTACCATGAAGTAAATTAATAACCTACTTGTTCTTCCAAAAAAGGTGTATGTACGTGTACGCGTATGTGTGTGTATGTGTATTTACTCAACATTGTTACAATCATGACATATGGTATGATTTTAAGGATGTAAGAGTTGTTGCAGTTTGATCGAGAGTAAAATTTCATGCCTGTGGTCTTGGGGAGAGAAACATGAATTCTCATGTTTTTTAAAGTGTCCTTTAGCACCTTCTAAAGAGTTACTTGTGTGTGAGGATGAGAAGCAAGCAGTGACGACCTGCCCATCCGAATCAGCAATGGGTCCCATATGAATGAAGATGACGTCTGGGCTCTCGGCAGGTAAGTGACATGGTCGAGATGTGGCAGTCACTGCCACGCAACAGACAAGGTCTGGAGTGGACGTGGGGTGGTAAGGCCTGCGGTGGACGTGGGGCCTGAGAGGGACGACCTGCATGCCAATCCTGCCCCGTCCACCCCATCCCCGCACCCTCGTGGCAGTGCATGCCTGTCACATGCTCAGCACATGCCCGGTGCACGCCCAGCACACCCGCTGCTGCCCACACGCGCCCACCTGCTCCGTCCCAGCCAACCAAGGACGGCGGTGCTGCCATCAACGCTCAGACGCTTCTTCTCAACAACCCTCACTTCTCACAGGTTCTCCTTAGGCCCACCACAGGTTATGGTGAGAAATCAAACACCATGCGTGAGACTTCTGAGACACTGTGCGTCACTACGTGGAATGAAGATCCCTCTCCCTGTAATTTGCACTCTAAGGCTTTGATCTGCCGCTGACGTCAGACAGAAGATGCCGCGTGGTCCTTGCACTGTGTTTCCTGTGATGAGGGGCCTGAGACTCGGAACCCGCTGGTCACACCCTCTGATCCGTGGAGGGGGCTTCTTCTCTCGTTCTGGGCTCTGAGTCTATTTATGCAGCCAAACTCCCACCTGCGCATTTAAACAAGCGTCCACCCACCCCACCCCGGCCTGTGTGACACGGAAGGCCCCCTCCCCTGCAGCTTCGCGTCATCATCAAACCAGACACTGCCTCTGGATACGGGGAGCGTCCTCTCCTGACTCTGGAATGAGAGTCCTCGGTTTTCTCTTGATACACGTGACAACCAGGAGACCTGGTGCTGCCTGCAACTTGGCATGAAGCCCAAATTACTCCTCATAAAACCACGACGTGACACTGTCATACAGTCCCATACTTGGTACATTTTCTCTCTTTTCTCAATCACCAGTGGATGATTGAACACAGCATTTTCCTATTTCATTTGAAAGTTGATATTAACTGATTTTAGAGACCTGCTTAGTGTCGCTGACAGACACCTGATTCATGAGTATCTCTGAATAGCTGGCCCTTGAGCTGGTCTTGTAAAATATTAATGTTTGAAAAATGACCACTGCTTATGGAATTTAAAAAATTTTCCAGATTCAGTTTAAAAAAAGAAAAAATTACATTTCTCCTCATTGGGGTCTATTCTTGCCTTTGTTGATTTGGAAAAACAGTCATGCATAGGATGCTTTATCAAGTCACAGTAAAGCCATCTGGGGAGCAGCGTGCAGTCATCTGGGGGCATCCTTACTGTCCACCAAGAGTGGCATCCGGAGAGCTGCTCTCATTTATTCCCCGATATCTCCGTTCTCCAGGCCCTTCCAGCCGAGCCAATTACTGATGTCATCCTCCGGTTCATCTCTCTTTGCAAGTGGTGAGAGCACAGCACGCATGCTGCCCTGTGAGGATGATTATGCTATCAGCCTGCTACTCTAAAAGACTATAAAACAGGAATTTGAGAAGGAGGAGGTGGCAAAGAAGGGTGTAAAACATAAGAGTATCATACTTTTTCATATAAGTGTGTGTGCACACTTCTTAAGAGGAAAACTTAATACATACTGAGATACTGAAGGTCCAGATGCCAGACCTGTGGGGTTAACTGTGGTTTCTGGGTGCTGTGACTGTAGGTTTTTTTTTTTTCATTGTATTTTTCTGATTTCCAACTGTAGGACATTGAGCAGATACTGTTTTCATAATAAGGAAAAATTATTATTTTAAACTTGATGAAATTATGACAACTCAAAACATGGGATGTCACTAAATTCTACTTAAAGGTGAATTTATAATCTTAAATATGTCAGGAAAGAAAAAAGGCTAAAAATCAATCATATAAGTAAGAAAGAAGCTGGAAAAACAACAGCAACTTATACCTGAGGAAAGCAGAAGGAAAGAAATAACAATCAGAGGAGCACAAAATAAAGGAAGAGAAAAGAAAACCCAACAGAGAGACAGCAACCAGCACTGGCACTGTGAAGAAAGAAAACAGACGAACAGTGCAAGACTGGACGGGACGAGCAGAGGACACATAAAGGCCAGCGTGGGGTGAAGGCGTGTGTTAACATACATCCTGTAGGCGCAAAAGGACCAATAAGATGGCTCTGTGGACAACTCTATGCAAATACATTACATAGTTTGTATGAAATGGAGGATTCTGAGAAAAGTACAACATACCAAACTGGACACATGAAGAAACGGAAAATCTTAATAGTCCTATATCTATTACAAAATTGAATCTTTAGTTAAAAATAATCCCACAAAAGAACTTCAGGCCTAGGTGGATTCACCTGACTTCTAAGGAACATTTAAGGAAGAAACAAACGCCCAACATACAAAACATTTCTGGAGAATAGACACAGTGACGGTGACCACACGCTTTGTGAGGACAACACAGTTCTTTCAAAACCTGATGAGGACACTGAAAGACGGGAAGGTTGCAGGCCAACCCCTCTCCTAAAGAGCAATACAAAACTTCTAAACAAAATATTAACCGTTTTATTGTAGTGATATAAAGTATTCAATCAATATTAACACCAACAAATCATGAAAACGTGTAGCAAACTAGAAATGTAAGGGAAATGCGAAATGCGATACAAGGTGAGAAAATCCCGCAGGGACACTGCACGTGGAGCCCTCACCCTGCTGCTTCCCTGCCGGAGGCCCTGGCGATGCAACAAGAGGAGGGAAAGTGTCAGACCTCACGGGGACGCCAGCTACAGACGGCACCACTGTAAGTCCAAAAGGCCCCCAGGCCCTACAGACAGGCTGCATGGGAGCCTGCAGACACAGAAGCAGGACGCGAGTGCGGCAAGGAGGACGCTCACCCGCACGGCAACCAGGGTCGCAAGGTAACGCTGGCGAGCGCCAAGTTTGGCAGAGAGCACCAACCCCAAGGACCCCACCGGACACTGGAACTGCAGCCCCAGAGCAGCAGGGAGCCTCGCTGTCCCTGGGCCTCCCTGTAATGAGGGCTCCGCAGAGGCCGAAGCAGGGGCGCCCATGCTGCCCTGGGGTCAGCAGACGTGGCACCCGAGTCTCCACCTCAGCTCATGCCCCTGCATCACTCCCAGGGCTCACGCTCCCGGAGGTGGGGGAGTCCTTCTGCTTCTGGACAGCACGGCACCGTCCGGGACGCTCACCACGGGCTCGTGCAAGAGGCAATGGCTGGGGACATCCGGCTCCCGGGGCCAGAAGTCACACGGCCACCCTGCTCTTTCCGCGTCTTGTTCGTGGTAACTGACAGGACTAATTACTTGATCTGAAGAAATACTCATCACTCAATGCCCTTTCGACGCTACGTATTTGTTGCTTGAGTCTCTCGTTTTCTCACAGATGAGGGACAGCGGTTACTGCAGGAGGACTTCACCACCCTAATTGTGTGCTACCCGACATGGGCTCACATCTACCTCGGCAGCCGGTGCTTAGAGGCCTTTTCCCCAAAGGAGACATCTTCGTGTCTGTTTCCTAAGTACAACATCTTGATGCGACTTAGCGTGGAGAATATCCAGTTAATTCACACAGACACGGTTCAATATTTCTTTTGAAAAACAGTAATGCATGTTAATACCTAGATATGATATGTAGGCATTACAATCGATACAAAGATCTGTTAATTTTCTTCTTTTAACATTTCCAGCATAACCTATAGATCACTGGGCAATGGCTACACATAATTGAACATAATTTTTTTTTAACATCTTTATGGGAGTATAATTGCTTTACAATGTTGTGTTAGTTTCTGTTGTATAACAAAGTGAATCAGCTATACATATACATATATTCCCATATCTCTTCCCTCTTGCGTCTCCCTCCCACCCTCCCTATCCCACCCTTCTAGGTGGACACAAAGCACCGAGCTGATCTCCCTGTGCTATGCGGCTGCTTCCCACTACCTATCTATTTTACATTTGGTAGTGTATATATGTCCATGCCACTCTCACTTCGTCCCAGCTTCCCCTTCCCCCTCCCCATGTCCTCAAGTCCATTCTCTACATCTGCGCCTTTATTCCTGTCCTGCCCCTAGGTTCATCAGAACCATTTTTTTTTTTAGATTCCACATATATGTGTTAGCATACGGTATTTGTTTTTCTCTGACTTGCTTTACTCCGTATGACAGACTCTATGTCCATCCTCACTACAAATAACTCAATTTCATTTCTTTTTATGGCTGAGTCATATTCCATTGTATATATGTGTCACATCTTCTTTATCCATTCATCTGTCGATGGACACTTAGGTTGCTTCCATGCCTGGCTATAGTATATATAGAGCTGCAGTGAACACTGTGGTACATGACTCTTTGAATGATGGTTTTCTCAGGGTATGTGCCCAGGAGTGGGATTGCTGGGTTGTATGTGTAGTTCTGTTTTTAGTTTTTTAAGGAACCTCCATACTGTTCTCCACAGTGGCTGTGTCAATTTACATTCCCACCAACAGTGCAAAAGCGTTCCCTTTTCTCCACACCCCCTCCAGCATTTGTTGTTTGTAG